TCGTCTCATTTTTAGCCTTGGTGCATAAGCTCTTTTATAAACAAAACTTAGTTGCCACGGAGCCGCCAGCGAAAAACAACAATTTCATATCGTGTGCAACTTCAGTTCGGCTTTGGCAAATTATATAATTGAACTTAAGAACTATCCAAAAGGTGAGCCGAGTTTGAAAGCTAAGTTTACAGTATTCTTTCTAAGTTTTGACTTTTTACGTTGTCGATTTGACTCACGGCGAAAAACATTGTAAAAGTTATGGGCATTTCATGGTTTCGTTGAGGTGTCCGCTGACCAGTAAAATACTGTATCGTCCCCTAAAAAACGTATTTCCGCGGTGTCGTGCTGATAGGTCCCCAGAAGTCTATGGCCACTTCCTTTCAGGGTTCACTCGGTAGAGGTGACATTCGCAGTGGTTCGCGGTCACTTGCTGGTATCACTACTTGGCATGGTTGGCAGAGTTGAATGTGGGCTTCCACCACCCGATCCAAACCTGGAAACCAGACCCTGCTCCTGAGATATTCTTTTGTTTTTGTAACCCCCTGGTGTCCCTCATGTGCAAGATGTACAACTTTGTCGCGAAGAGACCTGGGAACCACTATGCGACACCCTCGCACGACCAATCCTCCTACAACTGCTAGCTCTGTAAAGCCTGGGTAAAACTGGGGCCCGAGTGCTTGCCGCTCTGATATCGTGAAGTACTCCCTTGCTATCGCACTCTTAAGATCTTTGAGTTCCGGGTCCTGACTTGTCTCCTCTAGCAGCTCATCCCATGATAACGCGTCTGGCAGTGCCGCTTGCACCACTGTTCTGATGTCCTTCTCAAACACGTCTTCATTTTCACGGACTGTGAGCTTTGTCTGGCGTACTTCCCTGGGGTCCGGCGTCGTGAGAGGTTTTGGGTGTCTGGAGTTGTAATCAGCCTCATTCGTTTCTGCCTTTGCTTTCTTTCCCGGTACGTAGTTGAGCTTGTAATCAAACCCCTGCAGGCGAACTCTCATCCGTTCAATTCTCAGCGGCGCGGTGACTTTGTGACCAGCAAACAGGGGCAGTAGTGGTTTGTGGTGAGTGTCCACCTCAAACGTGTCTCTGAGGCCATATAAGTAGATCTGATTTGTGAGCACGCCCCATTCAACAGCTTTAGCTTCCTTCTCCAGCTGCGAGTATCTGGTTTTAGTATTCGTCAAAGCCCTTGACCTATAAGTTACAGGTCTCCACTGCCTGGCTTGTGGGTCATACTGCTTCAGGGTAACCGCTAAACCATGAGGTCCCGCGTCTGTCACGAGTTTGGTCTTTCGATGTGGGTCGAAGTACGCCATTACGGTGTGTCCCGATAGCAGCGTTTTGGTTTGCTCGAATGCTCTCTGACACTCAGGTGTCCACTGGAAGGGGGCCCCCTGTTTAATGAGGTTTCTTAGTGGTGCGGTGACCTGTGCAAAACCCTCCATGAAGTCTGAGTTAGCTCCAGCGAAGAAAAAGAACGATCGCACTTCTGCTTGAGATTGGGGCGGGCCGGCTGCCTGCAATGCCGCCACCTTGTTAGGGTCTGGCGAGATTCCCTCACTGCAAAATACTTTGCCAAAAAAAGTCACAGCGCAAAGGTTGAACCGGCTCTTCTTCATGTTAAAGGTCAGTCCGTGGCTCCGCCACAGCTGTAGGATGTGTCTTAACGCCCAGTCATGTTCCTCTTGAACCTTTTGAGTCCGCGATGCGTGTAAAACGTTGTCAGCTTTCTGCTCTCTTCTGCTAACTCCAGCTGCATGTAGCCATCATTCATATCCAGGTGCGAAAAGAACTTGGCCCCATTCAGCCTGGTTTCCAGCTTCCTTCTCCCTTAGAGTGATTATGGTGTGCCTTGTTCTCTTGATGTACTTGTTA